GTCTGGTACATGGGGTGGGTGCAGTCCTGTGTGGCTGTCTCTTATACACATCTAGATGTGTATAAGGGCCTGCTCTCTCTCTCGTTCTTCTTGTTTTAAGCTTTTTTTTTTCTTTTTTTTTTTTTTTTTTTTTTTTTTTGGGCCCCGTTTTTTGGGGACTACCGGTCGCACGCTGGTGGGTATCCAGCGCGACGCGGCGCGTATACGGCCGCGTCGATTTCTTCGAGCAGGGAGAGGTACTGGTGGTTTAAGCACTAGGTGTTTGTCCCAGAGGTGTGTAGCAGATGAAAGCTCCTATGGAGGAATTAGAGTTCTTCTTAACAGTTGAACAATTTCTGAGTAAGATTGGGTCATGGGTTCTGGTTATGTATCCACTCCTGTGAGAACCGTTTGGTACAGTGCTTTGTCGTGGGAGAGAGCGAGGGGGGCAGTCCAAACCCATGTGAGAGCACTCAAGGTATATCATTTCTTCAGCAGACATCAGGAATTATCATCAGGTGTTTGGGAGATGACTTGACGGCTTCATCTCACTCACCTGGACTCCAATCTGACCAACACCCAAAATAGGGGATACACCCCTCTAACATGGCTTGTTGAAGTCTCATGATTCGCGTATTCTTGTTTCAAGACTGGGGATTGACTGTTGGGATGTATCGATGTCCTTGAACTGCTATCTGTTCCTATTTGTGCAGGGGAAACCACTGTGGGAGAGCAGGGTCCTCCTAGGAACATTGAGTTTTTGCTGGAGTTCATTGCATCGCTATGTTCTTCAAGGTATTCCTGTCCTGAAGTGTTTGGTGAGAAGTTGAGAACTGTACTTGGGGACAGTATCCCTTTTCGGACTTTTCGTTGTTTTAGCAGCCACTGAGCAGCTTCCTCACATAAATCTGGGAAAGCAAAAGCCGCTGGACAGGCATCTGCCTGATGATTCGTAATCACTTGGAAGAGTGTTGGAAGAGTGCGGGTGCTAGTAATTGGACCATGTCCCACATGCTTGTCTGATGGGTGTACGCGATGCCGAATAATGTTTCATGCATGGATGCACCATCTCTCACAGGACTTTTTGACAGATGTGCTAGTAATGTTGGACCATGACCTGCATTTGGTCTCGGTGTGTTTTCATGTATCTCAAGGGGAGGGGGTGCTGATGTCCATACCACACAATGAACTGTCTGGTTCCTGAGTTTCTGAATCTTCCCGCTTGAAGGAATGCGATCATCATTTCATTTGGGTGCTTTGTCATAGAGTTTGACAGCAGCATGTGTGTTCATCTTAAAGCAATGGTGGTTCTCCAGATAGGTGAACCTTTGCCTGAGCATTCTCATGCGTGCCGTTTATTGCTCTGTTCACTCGTTGATGGTTAATGCACAGGTTTGCTTCGTTTGCATATCCTGCAGAGAACATTACAAGCCATTTCAGCCAAAGGAAGTAGAAAAACTTGTCAGTACAATGGCCCATTTCATTGCCGATCAGTCGCTGGCTTGGATTCGGGATAAAGTTCTTCACTGCATGAAGGCGCTGTTGGCTTATTTCACGGAGGAAGAGTTCAAGAGCAGGCTAAACGTTTTGGCTGCCTCTGTTGCAAGGTAAGCGAGCGGGTCATCCATGGTGCAAGTACAATCTCACTTGAGAATGTTGACGAGTATGTTCTATCATTTAACTATGTAATAATTTCTTGAGCTGATCGGTGGGTTAAACCCTTGATGCTGCATTGTTTGGACGAGGGGGCGGGCCATTCATGGTGCACATACAATCTGCTTCAGAACGTTGACGAGTATGCCGTGGCACATGTTTGTGATGTCTTGTGTGCTTAGGTGGGTGTGGCATGCACAGTCCCCACGGGGGCCCCTGTAGGACCCGACCGTGGACTAAGGGGTTCCATCCTAAGGCCCAGCGTCGTTTCGTTTTGTCCTAGCCGTCTAGGGCCTACACTCGGGGCTCGTTACCGGCCCGGGTTAGGACCAGCACGATTCACGGCCCAGTTAGGCCAGTAGACCAGACCCTGGCGCAGGTTCGTTTTGGCTAAGGGCCCTGTTCTTGTTTTGGGAGCCAGGCGCCAGCCACTTCCATTTGGGCGCCAGACACTGGCGCAGTTGGGCCTTGGCATCGGTCGGCCTCTCACGCAGTCTAGCGCTGTATCTAGCTGGTCTGCCCAGTAGCATGGAGGGTAGCACTCAGGTGGTATCGTAGGAAGCAGTAGTCGACGCGCTGGGCGCCGTTAGCAGTTCCCTACAGCACTGGGTGTGAGTTAGGGGAGAGAGAGGGAGAG